ACAGGCACCCAAGTCTGGAGCAGCCTCAGCAGGGAGCTACTTTAAGAGTTTAGATACCAGGGACCTATAGACATGGCTGCAGCCACTGTACTGCTCCAAAAAAGGAGGAAAACAAGCATGCCCATGCACCCCCAGGAGGATACTTGTCATCCTGCTACAAGCTGCTGTTGAGACTGAAACATAAGTAGATCACACTCCCTACACCTTCTTGCTCATGCTGCTTGGCTGGGTGGTGCCCCATTCTCTCTAGCCCCATGCCCAAGACACCATTTTCTGAGTTCAATGCTGGGCTGAGCCCTGCCCTTGGCCTGAGTTGGGGCTGACATGGCCCCAGTCACTGCCCAGCAAAGGACCAACAGGGAAACCAGGCTACCCCACACATATCTATAGAATACCCACCACCCTGCAATGGGCTGCTGTGAAACTGAGACACAATCAGACTACACTTCCCACAGTTTTCTGCCCATGCTGCTCGCCTGGGTGGTGCCCTAGTATCCCAGGGCACAGGCCAAAACTGTCATTTTGAGAGTTTAATTCTGAGCTGTGCCCCAACGTTGGCTTGAGTTAAGGCTGACTGCAGCTACTGCCCAGCCAAGAAGGGGCAGAAAAGCCAGGCTCTCCTACGCACACCTGCGACAACACCCAAAGCTCTGCTATAGGCTGCTGTGAGACTTAGACTTGAGTAGAACACAATCCCCACTGCTTCATACCAACACTGCTCACTAGAGAAGGGCCCCACCCTCTCTAGTCACAGTCCTACAGATGGCACCCTTATGAGAGTTTAGAGACATTGTTTGATGCCTGGCAACAGTAGCCACAGCAGACATTCTAGCCTCTGGTCAGAGACTGGGGCACCTGCTCTGGAACAAAGGAATCTCTTTGTTACCAACTGTGTCCCTGAAATTATTGGTAGAGTTTGATTCTAGGTGAAATATCTGATTCATGCTAGTTTGATCAGCCAATCTTGATGAGGGTGATTCAGGTTACATGCGTGTATACATATGTCAAAATTTACCAAACTCTACACAGCACTTGTGCATTTTTACTGTATGTAAATGGTATCTCAATATAGCATTATTAGAAAATAAAATTAGTATTCCCTAACCCTATTCATTAGACATTCCATAACCTAGAAGCAAAGACTAAATCAATAGCTATATACAACCCTAGCACCCAAAGTCTGGTATCTAAATACCTCTTGCCACTAAAAAGAACTACAGCTTGGAGAAATAAGTCTTCCAGGATTAGCGAAGGAAATGCAGATGAGCATGGAACATCTTGTGACACCAGAAAACAAGGAAGCTATCAGACTACGGGAATCACATCAAAAGGACAGAGCAACAACTTAAAAAGACTTCCAAAGAGTATAAGCTGGGCATCAAAAAGAATAATGGCTACAGCGAATTAAAACACTCATATATGTTTAAAATTCATTAGTTCATAATAACACTTAAGGAGAACAAATAACCCTTGCTGGTCAACACTGGACAATGCCAGGGAATAAACTTATTTTTCTGAAAACATGTACATATAAAGGGAATGAATCAAGTTATCTTGCCTTTACTGAACAAACTAGGCTTCACCATGACCAAATAGTTGGAATTTTCCTTCTAAGAAATACAGAACCTGATGAAAACATGGCTGCAGACAGCAATCATCGATGGCTGCAAAAATCATTAGGTCACAGATTAATGAAAAACTTAATGGTGATTTATCCATTATGAATATCATCTGTTATGATGTCAAAAGGACACAGCAGCTAATTTAAAAAGACTTCAAAGGGGATAATGTGTGCATTGAAAAGAAAAAAAATGGCTTCAGTAGATTAAAACACTTCAAATGTGTTTAAAATTCATTAATTTAGCAAGGCATGGTGGCTCACCTGTAGTCCCAGCAACTCTGGAGCCAAAAGAGGAACGGTTGCTTGAGCCCAGAAGTTTGAGACCAGCCCAGGCAACATAGCAAACCCCCCTGTACAGAAAATACAATTCCATGCTCGTGGACAGGAAGAATCAATATCATGAAAATGGTCATACTGCCCAAAGTAATCGATAGATTCAATACTATTCCCATCAAACTACCATTGACTTTCTTCACAGAACTAGAAAAAACTACTTTAAATTTCATATGGAACCAAAAAAGAGCCTGTATAGCCAAGACAATCCTAAGCAAAAAGAACAAAGCTGGAGACATCACACTATTTGACTTCAAACTATACCGTAAGGCTAGAGTAACCAAAACAGCATGCTACTGGTACCAAAACAGATATAAACATCAATGGAACAGAACAGAGGCCTCAGAAATAACACCACACATCTACAACCATCTGATCTTTGACAAACCTGACAAAAACAAGAAATGGGGAAAGGATTCCCTATTTAATAAATGGTGTTGGGAAAACTGGCTAGCCATACATAGAAAACTGAAACTGGACCCCTTCCTTACACCTTATACAAAAATTAATTCAAGATGGATTAAAGACTTAAATGTAAAACTCCAAACAATAAAAGCCCTAGAAGAAAACCTAGGCAATACCATTCAGGACATAGGCATGGGCAAAGACTTCAATGACTAAAACACCAAAAGCAATGGCAACAAAAGCCAAAATTGACAAATGGGATCTAATTAAACTAAAGAGCTTCTGCACAGCAAAAGAAACTACCATCAGAGTGAACAGGCAACCTACAGAATGGGAGAAAATTTTTGCAATCTATCCATCTGACAAAGGGTTAATATCCAGAATCTACAAGGAACTTAAAACAAATTTACAAGAAAAAAACACCACCACCAAAACATGGGCAAAGGATATGAACAGGCACTTCTCAAAAGAAGACATTTATGCAGCTAACAAGCATATGAAAAAAAGCTCATCATCACTGGTCATTAGGGAAATGCAAATCAAAACTACAATGAGATACCATCTTACACCAGTTAGAATGGCAATCATTAAAAAGTCAGGAAACAACAGATGCTGGAGAGGATGTGGAGAAAGAGGAACACTTCTACACTGTTGGTGGGAGTGTAAATTAGTTCAACCACTGCAGAAGACAGTGTGGCAATTCCTCAAGGATCAACAACCAGAAATACCATTTGACTCAGCAATCCCATTACTGGGTATATACCCAAAGGATTATAAATCATTCTACTATAAAGACACTCACACATGTGTGTTTACTGCAGCACTATTTACAATGGCAAAGACTTGGAACCAACCCAAATGCCCATCAATGATAGACTGGATAAAGAAAATGTGGGCTGAGCACAGTGGCTCATGCCTGTAATCCCAGCACTTTGGGAGGCAGAGGCAGGTGGATCACCTGAGGAGTTCGAAACCAGCCTGGCCAACATGGTGAAACCCTGTCTCTACCAAAAATACAAAAATTTTCCAGGCATAGTGGTGGGTGCCTGTAATGCCAGCTATCAGGAGGCTGAGGCAGGAGAATCATTTGAACCTAGGAAGCAAAGGTTGCAATGAGCCAAGATCACGCCATTGGGGATATAAATAAGGCAAGTTTTAGTTTAAAAAAAAGAAAAGAAAAGAAAACACAAAAAATTAGCCAGGAATGGGGCACACGCCTGTAGTCCCAGCTAGCCAGGAGACTGGAGTAAGTGCATTGCTTGAGCCCAGGGTCAGAAGTTGCAGCGAGCAGAAATTACACCACTGCACTCCAGCCTAAGCAACAGAGCAAGACTATCTCAAAACAAACAAGCAAACAAAACCAAAAAAACTCTGAATAATGAGATTTGGGGAGCTTCTGGGTTGATGAACACATCCATGACCTGGGAGGGTGGTACACTCAGAGAGGGCATGGAAGCTCTGTACCTCCTGCCCCAGTACCTTGCCTTATGCCTATCTTCCATTATTTGGCTGCTTCTGAGTTATATCCTTAATAATACAACTCTTAAGTATAGCACTTCCTTGAGTTCTGTGAGTAGTTCTAGTGAATTATCTAACCTGAGGGAGGGTCATGGGAAACCCCGAATTTATAGTGGGTAGGTATGTATGCAAGCAGCCTGGGGACCCCACTTGTGCCTGGCATCTAAAGTAGAGGCAGATTATGGAACTGAGTCCTTAACTTGTAGGGTATATGCTAAGTACAGGTAGTGTAGTGTCAGAATGAAACTGAATTATTAGTTGGTGTCAGAGAATTGGAGAACTAGTGCAGGAACAACAGATTTGGTGTAAAACACACCCACACACACACACACACACATTCATTTATCAACCACACTGTATTCCTGGGGGGGAAATATTTTTGAACTAGAATCTGAGCAAATCTGGAGACCTGATTACCATAAAAGAAGACACACATGGAGATCAAAAAGCCAGTTAAGCAACACAAGGATACAGATTAAAGCAATTTAAGAGAAATATCAACCAAAATGCAATGTATGTGCCTAACTGGGATCCTGATTGGAGAGAACTACAATCAACATGTCTACAATCATGTGGCATTCATGACACAATATGGCAAATTTGAATACTGCCTAGATATAAATAATATCAAGGAATTATTGTTTATTTTTAAGTATGAATAGTATTATTACTATGGTTTTTTAAAGTCTTTTTCTATTAGTCATACATACTGAAGACTATGAAATAATAGCAATGGGACTTCTAAAATAATCCAGGAAGTATAAATTTTAAAAAGATTGGCCATGTGTTATAATTGTAAAAACTGGGTGATGGGTACATGAGAATTAATTATTCAAGTCTCTCTCCTTTTACAGTGTTTGAAAATTGCCTTAGTTGAAAAGTTTTTAGAACACAAAGGGAAATGTAAATTAGAAACTATTAAATTTTCAAACATCCAATGAAATCCAAAGATGATTAGTCTGGAGTATAAGACAAAAATTCACCTATAAACAAATACAGGGATTAGCAAAGAAGTAGAGGATGAGGTGGGGAAGGAAAGGAAAGTGACAGAAAAATAAATAGCAGCAGATGAGTGCACAGATTTCCCAGTTGGACACTCTTCACCTTAAGCCACTGAACATACCTGCAGCTCCTGGGCAATCTGTTCTACTTTCAATTCTAATGCCTTATAACTTTCGAGAAGAGCGTCCTTCTCTGTTTTAAGTTTTTCATTTTCTTCAATCAGTTTCTGGTCCTGCTTAATTTTTGCCAGGCTGACATTAGACCCTAAATTAAAGTCACCAACAGCCAAACTTTCCCTATAAAAACAAATTCATTTATTTTAAAAAACAAACTGAATAAGGATGACAGAGAAAACAAATCTAAGTTATCTTGGTCTTTTTATACCACAATATATCTGAAAGTTAATTTTGAAAACTAAAATATTTACCTAGTTCATAATATTAAAAAATAATTTAATGCAAACAAGATTTTATAACTGAAGTCATAATTCGACAATGCCTTTAATTCACAAAGAAAATATATTCCAACTTCTTCATAGCACTATCAACTACAGAGAACAAAGTAAAAAGCATTTCTGTATTAGTTTTTTTCCAATGCCTCCTCCCTGTGATCCCCCTGTTCACCGCCTCCCCCACCATTTGACAGTTTAGCTCCTAAAGCACTGAAGAGATCCCATCAAACAACTATATCATCCAAGATACAGCATCATGTCTTGGACCATGATATAGAAGACTGTTTTGATACATATAAATATCAAATCTGGCTTTCTGCTTCAAGTTGATGATTCAAAATTATCTAAAAAGTAAGCTATTCGGAATAATCAAACTCCACCACAAGTTTTCACAAGAAGAAAGAGTCTCACTTTTATTTAAAAAGTAAAGGCAATTCCCTGAAACTCTTTAAAATATTCCTAAAGTCATCGGAAAAATTTCAAATCTTATCTGAAATTCTGACTTTGCCTGAATAATTCAGATTTGGGAGCAGATTTTTATTTTTGATAAGTGTATTCCAATGAGTTGGCATGAAAAGTTTGTATGTAAACTTTTAAATAATTCAGGAATTATTTTTCTTTCAAAATAGCTTGTAATGAAAATACCCCTGCTAAAGCAGAGAGGAACACATTTGAGAAAAGTAGAAATATCAGCATCAGCCCTTAAAATCACTGACACAGTTAAGGATTCCAAAAGCGTAAGCCTTAACTTCTATTCTACTATGACAGGGACCTCTACAATGAATTAGAAATAAGTGAAGACTAAATTCTTACTTTGGAAATGTCATAAGATTTCCTGCATCATTTTCATTCTTCAAGTCAAGAGTCAGCTTCTCACTTAAGTGCCCCTTGGGCCTGCTGAAAGTTGACTGGTTTGATCTATGCCCCCACAAAGGAATGGGGCTTTTGAGGTTCCTGAGAACAAGTTGACCAGGATCCAATTTTTTTTCCTCACAGATGTCAGTTCTAGAAGTAAGTTTGCATTTCTCTGCAAATCCTTTCTTAAACACTTCTTCCCCTATATCCACACTGCCATACTCAGCCTGAGCAATAACTGTTCCATCTTGAGAGGTTGCTTTAATTCTCATTTTTATTTCCTTTTCGAAAATCAAGCTCCCCAAAAAGGTTGTGCCCTAAGAAAGAAGAAAACATAAACCAGCTACACCAACATGTTTCTCTTCCCTTATTTTGTTTCTACTCATTTTTTCCAAGCATCATATTTCTTCATTCTAAAATCTCTATATACAGAAGTCTTACCTTGATGTTGGCTATAATATGCAAATATACATCTCCACATATATGAATGTATTCCAATTACACATTTGCTAAAATGAAGTTGAGCTAAATACTTGTATAGGCAGCCATATTTATAAACCTAAAAATGTATTACTAAGTAAATATCCTAGAATAGTTTTTTTTAACCCAGCAGATTACGTTGACTACTTTGGCCCCAACTAAATATAATGCTCTCCTGAAAAGCAACAGCACATAAAAATGAATCTCTGATATCTAGAAAAGGTACTCAATTTTACAAAACTTTAAAAGTTTTAGAGGCACTCAGGAACTCTGATTTTAAAGTAAGACGAACAGAAGTGAAAAAACAAACTGAAAGCACAAAATACAAATTATTTAAAAATCAACAAACTGAAATTATAAAATGTGAGGTGTCACAAATACATATTCAAAACTTTTTTTTTTCTTCTTTTTTGAGACAGAATCTCACTCTGTTGCACAGGCTGGAGTTCAGTGGCACAATCCTGGCTCATTGCAACCTCCGCCTCCCCTATTCAAGCGATTCTCCTGCCTCAGCCTCCCCAGTAACTGAGACTACTGGCACACACCACCATACCCACCTAATTTTTGTATTTTTAGTAGAGATGAGGTTTCACCATGTCAACTGAGCTGGTCTCAAACTCCTAACCTCAAGTGATCCACCCACCTTGGCCTCCCAAAGTGCTGGGATTAGAGGGGTGAGCCACCTTGTCTGGCCTTCTACATTCAAAACTCTCTTAAACAGACTTTTGCTTAAGAGGGCTGCAACTGTACAACTGGCATATGAGAAATTAGGTGCTTGCTAACTTTGAGCTCTTGAATATCCATCAACAGAACTAAGCAAAGATATACCTAAAAGATATTCGGGATTGGAACATATTAAAACTTAATTTTAGTAAGAACTTATCTACTCCTCCATAAAATTGTAATTACTAAAATTACTTTGACACAATCTTAACTACTCTTCCCAAATTTCTCTAGGTTATTTTCCTGATTTTTACCCTGTGCATACTATAAAGGAAATTAAAAGTAAGTATTCTTTTTCAGAATATATAAAGGATAAATTTAAAACACAAAATGGGTAGGTACTGCTCAAATTTACTGGTTCACAACTTCCTTGAAATAGGGACATCATCTGATGAAACGTATCTCTCTTAGAAGGTGGAGCTGTGGCCGGGCGCGGTGGCTCAAGCCTGTAATCCCAGCACTTTGGGAGGCCGAGACGGGCGGATCACAAGGTCAGGAGATCGAGACCATCCTGGCTAACATGGTGAAACCCCGTCTCTACTAAAAATACAAAAAATTAGCCGGGCGAGGTGGCGGGCGCCTGTAGTCCCAGCTACTCGGGAGGCTGAGGCAGGAGAATGGCGTAAACCCGGGAGGCGGAGCTTGCAGTGAGCTGAGATCCGGCCACTGCACTCCAGCCTGGGCGACAGAGCGAGACTCCGTCTCAAAAAAAAAAAAAAAAAAAAAAAGAAGGTGGAGCTGTATTTTTAGCTACATTCCCACTCTATAAATATGAAAAACAATATAGTTTATGCAAACAAAGCAAATCAAATAGGACATCATACCTATAATAACCAGAGAAACAAGAGTGTAAAAAACACACTAAAAACCACCAAATACAAACCAGCCACATTTTTAAAAGAAATAGGGGGTGTGGGGAAGTCAAGGTCCAAGAAACTAAATAATATTTTTAAGAACTATTCTCTCTTTTTTAACTACACAGTAGTATAGAGGGTAAAAGTGAGACTTACATAGGAATTCTTAACCTTTTTGTGGCCATGGGGCTCCTCTATCAGTCAGGTGAAATCTTTGGACTTTTTCTCATAATGTTTTTAAATGCATGAAATACATACAATTACAAAAAAGAATTATTTAATTGGGACACATTTTTTTTTTATTTTTTATTTTTTGAGATGGAGTCTGGCTTTGTCACCCAGGCTGGAGTGCAGTGGCGTGATCTCAGCTCTACAGGCACCCACCACCATGACCAGCTAATTTTTTTGTATTTTGTACTAGAGACGGGGTTTCACCGTATTAGCCAGGATGGTCTTAATCTCCTGACCTCATGATCCCTCCACCTTGGCCTCCCAAAGTGCTGGGATTACAGGCGTGAGCCACCGCGCCCGGCCGACACATTTATTTTAACACCAGGTTAAGGATACCTGGGCCTAGAAGGATGCAACTGAAGGGGCAGAGAAGGAGACTCAAACTACATATGCTCAAGAATCACCAACTATCACTACCCAAAAAAAAAAAGAAAAAAATAATTTTGTAGATGGGGTCTTGCTATGTTTGCTCAAGCTGGTCTTGAACTCCTGGGCCCAAGCAATCCTCCCACTTCAGCCTCCTGAGTAGCTATGATTACAGGCACACACCCCGTGCCTAGGTGAAAAAATAATTTTTTAAATCCACAAAACAAAATAAGAAAATACTTTAGGTTAACAAAAACACAGGTTTTATAAATTTTTTAAGGCATAAAATTCAGAAATATACACATCATATCAAGAGGCTTGAATTCACCAAGAATATCAATATAAATAACAAATGAGGTCCAGAAGTTATCACCAATCAAATGGGATCAAGCAGGCAAAGCTAACAACCTCAGAATGTAAATAATTGAAATATATGTTAGGATTTTAATCAATTAGATGTAGTTTTCCAGTTAACCTCTTTCACACAAAAACCCTTGGTTTCAACTCTTATTATCAAAAGTCTATCTAAAAATTCAAGAACAACTTATGCCCCTAGGAAGTCTTTGAAAATTATTGCTGGTATATGTGGAATTATTAATATTTCAAGGAACCCTGTCTTTGGGCAATATGTGAATTCAAATGGAAATAACCTATTTTCTACAAAAGTTTCAATTACCTAAAGCTGAATGTTCTAAAGGTCCATTACTCCTTGCATAGAATTTTTATGCAGGAATCTAATTTTAGATTTCTCTCTGAATTCAAATTCATTTTACTTACAATCACCAATCACAATTAGTACGAAGTTGTTCAAACAGATTCTCCCTGAATCATATATAATCATAAACACAGAACTCTGAACTTGAAGTAAAATCTGAGTCTTCCTCAGTTCCAACTAACAAAAAGAATGACAGAGTATATGATACATGGGTGTTTTAATACTATACTTTACCAAAAATATGTATGTTTGTATATATATAACATATAAACATTAAATTTTTATCATAAGAAATATATTTTCCACTAACCCTTATGAGCTGGAGATATATATCTGCACTTAAAATATATATTTAGGTATTTAAAAGGTATAAAACTTAACTTTTTTTTTTTTTTTTTTTTTGAGACAGGGTTTCACAGCCTTGACCCCTCAAGCTCAAGCAATCCTCGGACCTCAGTCTCCCGAGTAGCTGGGACTACAAGCATGTACCACCATGCCCAGCTAATTTTTCTGTATTTTTTGTACAGACAGGGTTTTGCCATGTTGCCCAGGCTTGTCTCAAACTCCTGGACTCAAGCCATCCACCCACCTCAGCCTCCCAAAGTGCTGGGCTTTAAAGGCATGAGCCACTGCACTTGGCAAAACTTAACTTTTTAAAGTAAATCTGGTCATTGGTTTAGAACATAAGGCTTTCAATCATTAAAAAAGATTAATGTCACTTTTTAGAAATATATTTCATTCTGTTTTCCAAGCTGGTAAGCTTCATTCAGAAACAAGAAAGGATCATTTGCTCTCTACTTTATTCCTCTGAATTTTGCTTGTATATATTAGAAAACAAGCTAAAAGGTCTTTAAATTGTTAAACACAAATTCCAAGCTCTAGCTCTCATTCCCTTACTCTACATATAATTTTTAAAGTCAGGCACGTAGGAACAGTAACGTAATATTCTTGATCTTCAGCAAACTACCATTCTGGGTGTCGATTCTGACTGTGCCGTAGCATAGCGTGAAAGTGTTAGTTAAAAATGTGAAGGAATTTCAGTGCCCAGGACACCTTCTGGAAAAGGGGAAGGAGGGAGGCATTTGTGTTGTTACTGAATCCCTACTGTTCATCTATTTATTCAAATGCTAGATAAACTGATGCTCATCTAACACCTACCTGGCAGGGAAATTAGACATAGAAAAGTGAATACTTATCTCTACAAACTCACTAGGCTTGTAGAGGAGGAAAAAATTACAACTTTATAGGCTTTATATACGGAGTGACTAAAACACCACAGAGGACCGGGTAAGTGGGTATTAGCAAAGACTTCATATAAAAGATTAGAGTTGAAATTTGGACTGAGAATTAATAACTAAACATGGGCCTTTTAAGCAGAGCTATTCAAGAATAGTTCATTTTTTTCCAGAAAATATTGTGTGCCAATTAGCTTAACTCTAATCAATGATCTTTTTACTGAACTAAGCATCCAAATACAAATGTTTAGCCGGGTGGCTCATGCCTGTAATCCCAGCACTTTGGGAAGCACAGGTGGGGGGATCACTTGAGGTCAGGAGTTCAAAGACCACCCTGGCCAACATGGTGAAACCCCATCTCTACTACAAATACAAAAAGTAGCCGGGCATGGTGGCAGGCACCTGTAATTCCAGCTACCAGGAGACTGAGACAGGAGAATCGCTTGAACCCAAGAGGTGGAGGTTGCAGTGAGCTGAGATCATGCCATTGCACTCCAGCCTAGGCGACAGAGCAAGACTTCATCCCCCCCAAACAAAACAAAACAAAACAAAACAAAAAATATATATATATATATAAATGTTTATATACAGTACCATCTATAAAGAATCTTTGAAACATACAAAAACATTCTCAGCTTCAGTTTATTCATTCAATTCTAAAATTAACTTTTTTTAATGTCTTTTTCCCACTTGATTCATGTGTATTTCAATCAACACAAATCTGTGCATCTTACTATGAAAAGAACAATAGACTTGAGTTCTAGGCCTAGCTCTTCCCTAATTAGCTTCATGACTTGAAGTCATTTAATTATTCTAGGCTACAATTTCCCTATATGTAAAATAAAGTGAGAGCAGATAATATTCTAAGGTCTGTAAACAAGATTTTAGAGTTTTAGGCATGAAAGAAATCCAAAACAAGCCTCCCCAACCTTGGTCAAAGCATTTATATTAAAGAAGAAAGTAACAAACTTTAGATTTTAAGCCAGAAACTTAGGGTATAATTTTATAATATCTGTATTTCATGTTTATGAAAGCCTGAGTTTTATGCACAGAAATGTTTCTTGTAAGTAACTACATAGCATACAAAACTATACCCAACACACCTACAAGATTCTCAAAGGAAAATAAAGAGGCAATTTTAATTAATTTCAATTAATTAATTTTTAATTAATTTCAATTAATTAATTAAATTTTAATTAATTTCTTTACAATGCGTACAATGATTACATTGTTTTCCACATGAGCTACTTGAGCTGCTATTATAATAATTACAAACCTGATTACTTTGCAATGTAATATCTCTTACCAGCATTACCATTTACCAAAAGAATCATCATTGTACAACAGATTTTAAAAGAGGTAGGATTCCTGTAAGACTACCCCTGAAATTATCGAATGTCTTCCAGAATTAGGTTACCAACCCAAAATTCAGTGGAAAGGAATATGAACTAGAAGCCACATGAGCAAAACATCTGCTGCCAATTTTTACATCAAATAGTATCAGCCTCGGCCAAAATGATAAAATCTGATTATAACCCCGTTAATTTCAAATTTGTGGTATTTATGATCAGGACTAGGTCAAGATCACTTTTATTTAATAAATACCTTCCCAAAACAATTATAGAAATAACTGCATTCATTATTTTCTCCATCATATAAGAGACTATCCTTGGCCAGGCGCAGTGGCTCATGCTTGTAATCCCAGCACTTTGGGAGGTCAAGGTGGGCAGATTACCTGAGGTCAGGAGTTCGAGACCAGCCTGGCCAACATGGTAAAACCCCGACTCTACCAAAAATACAAAAATTACCTGGCCATGGTGGCACAGGCCTGTAATCCAGCTATTCGGAAGGCTGAGGCAGAAGAATTGCATGAACCTGGGAGGCAGAGGTTGCAGTGAGCCGAGATCACGCTACTACACTCCAGCCTGGGCAACAAAGTGAGACTCCATCTCAAAAAAAAAAAAAAAAAAAAAGACTATCCTTTTAAACATCAGAAGAAACTATTTATATATATTACATATGTATATGTTATTCTTACCTGTTCAATGTTTACCTAGCAAAAATGAGTATAAATATGTAATTGCTTTCTAATTATAATTCCTATTTTTCACTAATTTATACAGACTTTTCTATTCAAGTAAAATTTAATTATACTTACATTTTGTTTCAAGCACATAGTTTTACTTTCATTAGCAAAAATATTTAAAATCCATGACTTGCCTGATCAAACTGGGTAACTTCTTGATTAGAAGGAATGTGTAGTCCCCAAAGTTTATACTTTTTGGCAACACTAGAAAACTGCAGCTCCAAAGGAATTTCAACTATATCAGATCGATTTAGAATTTCAGTATTTCCATAGTCAATGTACCGCACCAGACACTGGAAAAAATAAGAGACAAATACTAATACTGACCCCAGATTAAATATTTACAAAGAAACCACCAATTTGCTGCTCTCTGTTAATGACCTGTATATCAAAATAGCATTCTTATCTCAAAATGACAAAATACATTCAGAAATAGCTCTCTAATAATATCTTCAAAATAAAAAAAAATCCACAGTCCATGAAATTCCAGTGATTTCTTTACTTGCTACTGGTTAAATTCCAACAGTACCATTTCTCATTAGGGTGTTTTTTGTTTTTAGACAATTGATACTTTAAATAAACATCAACCTATGAAGCTTACAGCCCTCTCCTGTTTCTCCTAATGTTAAAATCAAGCAACATTCAATTCAATTTCAAGTTGGAAAGAATAAAATCTGAAAAGAAAGGCAAAGTTATCAAACTTCCTTTGATACAATTAAACTCACTCCAGGTAGACCATGTAAACTAATCAGATTCACCACCCTTACCTCCAGCTCTACATCCGTTTAAAAAGTAAAAAAGAAAAATAGTTATTTCAAGGTCAAACATCACGTTGCCCTTTAATTTAAAAAATTAAAGCCAAGTGAAAAGCAAATGCAAAATATCATCTCCAGTTGTCAAATCACAGGAGAAAGGTCAATTAGAAAGTTCCATTCCACTAAAATAAACCATTACCTAAGACAGCAAAAAATGAGATTTTTTTTAAACCAAGTTATTCAGAATACTAATCAAATTGTTACATCTTAGCATCTTATTACACCAAAGAAAATATTTATAAAACATACATATTTTTAACTTTTTATCTTTTATCCTTAATCGCTTTCCCAGGTTCAGTAAAAACATACATATTATAATTTAAGTACAGAAAGCAGGTGTAGAAAAAACACTAAAGGAAATCCTACAGAGGTGCTTTCACACAGCCTGCAATATGCAACTGTCACCAAACAGCTATTCAGAATTCTATCTCCCTAAATCCTCTTAAAAATCCTCCAAGAATTCACAATGTAAAAAAAAAAAAAAAAAAGCTTAACGCAAAGAAAACTCACCACATAACCCAGGCACAAGAAAGTGGCAAATCAATCATTATTATTAACAATATTCACATCAACTAAATAAAAGATATACCTAACTTCAGAAGGATCAATCAAAATGTTCTTCTCCTACTCATAAAGCTTAATAGAAAAAACATTTAAAATTTACTCATTAGCAAGAACCAAATATAACTATTAAGATCTGAGGTAGGCTGGGCACAGTGGCTCACTCCTGTAATCCCAGAACTTTTGGAGGCTGAGGTGGACGGATCATCTGAGGTCAGAAGTCCGACCAGCCTCATCAACATGGGTGAAACCCTGTCTCTACTAAAAATACAAAAATAAGCCAGTGTGGTGGTGGGCGCCTGTAATCCCAGCTACTTGGGAGGCTGAGGCAGGAGAATAACTTGAACCTGGGAGGAGGAGGTTGCAGTGAGCCAAGATCGTACCACTGCACTCCAGCCTGGGCGACAGAGAAAGACTCCGTCTCAAAGAAAAAAGAACTGAGACAAAAAGAACTAGGCACCAAAAATAACCTACATATTATATAACCTATTCTTGAATAATCTGAGGTGATTATAAAACAACATGTTTTTTAGCAATTAATTTCTTCCGTGTTTTAATCACTGAACCAGATATCACTACTATGAATAAGCAATGATGGGGTAAATAAACATCAAATTTTGGAGCCACAATAAATATTTCTTAAAGAAAAAAAAAAATGAACAGTTAATTTCCTGCCTTTTCATCGCTGATGATTTTCAGTACTTTGCATCTGTACCAACACTTATCTTCAGAAAATAATCCACCATAAATCTACAAAGAGAAAAGAAAGCAAAATTACTTGGCATCTTAATGAAGTACAAAGCATGCTGAGTAGATCAGAATAAAGGTTAGCATTTAAGCTCTTCCTATATGTCAGTAAGTACTTTATACATAACTTATTTAATTCTCACAATCCTATGAGGCAGGTACTTTGTTTATGCCACCATGTACCCAAAGACATAAACTAGTAAACTGCAGAACCAAGATTCAAACTTCTGACTTCAGAGTTCATTATGCTATTCTGCATCTCCAAAATGAGGAGGGAGGGGTATAAAAAGCAAAAAAAAAAAAAAAAAAAAATTTAAGGCACAAGCATCAAACACTTAAAATCATACTATTATAATGTCTGAGGCAATAATTGGTACAATTTTTTTAACATAAACATGCCAAGTACATGGCACATAAGTCTAACTCTCAACTACAATGGAATCCACATTTGCTACCAACCAAGAAAGATTTCACACTTTTTACTTTATGTATAAGGAGATTAGTGCTATTAAGTAGATAAAACTAAATTAGATAATATCTTTAATACTGAACTTTATTTTATATTTCAGTTGAATGATGTTTAATAAAAGAATAAAGAGAAAATTTACATACTTTCAATCATTTTTTTTTTATTTTTTTTTTTTGAGACAGGGTCTCATTCTGTCACCAGGCCTGGAGTGCAGTGGAGCAATCATGGCTCTCTGCTAACTTGACCTCCCCAAGCTCAGGTGATCCTCCCACCCCAGTCCCCAGGGTAGCTGAGAACATGGGCACGCACCACCATGCCTGGGCTTTTTTTTTTTTTTTTTTAAGAGGCAAGGTCTCACCACGTTGCCCAGGCTGGCTTTCATTTTATCGAACTTCAAAGTAGCCTTAGCACTACTAGCATTTGGGACTGGATGAGTTTGTGTTTAGAAGCAGAATGGGGCTGTCCTCTGCCCTGTGCATTGTAAAACGTTTATCAACATCCCTTCTGACCTCTACACACTAGATGCCAGTAGCACCACTTCCAGTTGTGACAAGCAAAAATGTCTCCAAACACTGCCAAATGTCTCCTGAAGGTGTCTATGATTTAGATGGATATCACCCACCAAATTGCATGTTAAAATCTGATTCCCAATGATGGAGGTGGGGCCTGGTAGGAGGGGTTTGGATAGTAGCGGTAGATCCCTAAAAATGGCTTGGTGCCATTCTCGTGGAAGTGAATGAGTTTTCACTCGTAGTTCCTAAGAGAACTAGTTGTTGAAAAGAGCCTGACACCTCTTCCTCCCTCTGCTTCCTCTCTCACCATGTAATCTACAGACACTGGCTCCTCTTCACCTTCTACCATTTGTGGAAGCACACTGAGTCCCTTGTTAGAATTGTATAAAAAGCAAAAAAACTTTTTTTTAGAAGATACAAGCATCAAACACTTAAAATCATACTATTTTAATGTCTGAAGACATAACTGGTATAATTTTTTAAAAACATAAACATGCGAAATACATGCCACTTAAGTCTAACTCTCAGCTATACTCTGTTGGAGCTATGCTTTTTGTACAGCCTACAGAACCATGAGCCAAATAAACCTCTTTTCTTTATAAATTACCCAGTCTCAGGTATTCCTTCACAGTAACAAAAATGAAGTAAGACATGATTGAATTGAGAAGGATACAAAAATCACTGCAGGATGATAATTACTTTTTTGAGATAAAGTTTTACTCTGTTGACCAGGCTGGAGTGCAGCAGCATGATCATAGCTCACTGTAGCCTCAAACTTCTGGGCTCACGCAATCCTTCCACCTCAACCTCCCAAATATCTGGGGCTACAGGCACACGCACCGTACATAGCTTTTTTTTTTTTTTTTTTTTTTTTTGAGAAACAGGGTCTCACTATCTCGCCCAGACTGGTTTTGAACTCCTGGCCTCAACTAATTCTCCTGCCTTGGCCTCCCAAAGTGCTGGGATTACAGGCATGAGCCCCCATGCCTGGCCTTAACCACTTTAAATCATACAGTCTCAATTGGAGCAATATCCCTAAGGGGAAGAAAAGTGGTTCTTATGGAGAGTTGGAAATCTTAAATATTACAATGGTCTATAGCCCTCCAAAGTTCAACCCTACTGATAACATAGTTATTATATACTGTAGATCTGTAGCAGTAAAATATCTGAAGGGGAGAAGGCCCATTAGGCCATTAGGCAGAAAACAAGTCTAAAAATGCTCCTTAGGAGGGAATAATGAGAAAAATGGCTGAAGAACACTGCTTTAAGTTACGGATTATAAAATTAATTTCAATGTATCACTCTGAACTAGGGCAAATCCACAGATTTATTTTATGAAACCTAAACACCAAACCTATTCACCAGAACAATACAGTACACATAAATTCAGACAAACAAATAACAGTTCAAATGCTACAAAGGATTAGTGTATTCAATTCATAATTTACTCTGGTTTCTTCAGCTAACATTCAACAACTGAAGGACAAGAGAGAGCAGTAATAGTATGGTACTCTCTCCCAACCCTCTTACTTTATTTTCTGGTAAGTAAATAGGGGTAGTAGCAAAAAATAGCTGACAATTAACAGTCCTAACCCATTTCAATCCCTGCAAAAGACTGAATCAACTTTAATTAAGGCTTTGTAATAACATCACAATACAATTAATAATTTGGTATAAGGTAAGTGACAGAAATGCAACGGTTTATTGCAAACCAGGTGAGGCAGGGCTAGGGACACTTATGTCCAAGAATAGAGCTGGTACTCAACAAAGTGAAGAATCCGAAGTTCGTGGCTTTGTTTGTGTAATACAACCACCAAAACATACAAATCTATCCCAGATAGATTTATCTGTCCTCATGACATAGCGAAAACTACATATTCATTCTCATTGTGCCTGGGCCCAATCTTCTCCTCCCACAACTCCACTATTCACAGCCTGTGACCCTCCTACATGGTGGCAGAGGAAGAGAACCACTTAGATCACTAAGGAAAACTGACAAAGTATAATCCATTTATGAACAATCAGAAGTAGCTGATTAATCACTTAAAATCAGATGCCTATTACTGATGCTTGTATAAATTTCTGATAATATAATTAATATTATATTCAATAGAAGAAAAGGAGTATGTCTTAATTTTTAATAATATTAAACATAGTCATTGGTCAGGTGCAGTGGCTGACACCTGTAAATACCCCCATAAAAAATATTTTAAAAATTGAGGAATGGATTGGCTCCAGTGATGGGTCTCAGATGGGCTAATTTTTATAGACACAGCATCTGAAAGAAACCTGTCAAGGTATCACATAGAGACACTTATCTGCACGCTCATTCTCCATTAATATAGAAGGGAGAACTGGCATTAGATTCTTTTCAACGAATAAAAGTAAACTCAAGATTTATAAAGAAAAGAGGAGAGGGAGGTTCCAACATGGCCGAATAGGAAAAGCTCCAGTCTGAAGCTCCCAGCATGAGCAACGCAGAAGACGAGTGATTTCTACATTTCCAACTGAGGTACCAGGTTCATCTCACTGGGGCTTTGTCAGACAGAGGGTGCAGCCCACGGAGCAGGGCGGGGCATCACCTCACCCGGGAAGTGTAAGAGGTTGGGGAATTCCCTTTCCTAGGAAAGGGAAGCCATGAGAGATGGTACCTGGAAATTCAGGACACTCCCACCCTAATACTGGGCTTTTCCAATGGCCTTAGCAAACGGAACACCATGAGATTATATCCCACGCCTGGCTCGGAGGGTCCCACACCCAGAGCCTCGCTCACTGCTAGCACAGCAATCTGAGATCAAACTGCAAGGCAACAGCAAGGCTGGGGTAGGGGCGCCCACCATTGCTGAGGCTTGAGTAGGTAAACAAAGCAGCCTGAGAGATCGAACTGCGTGGGGTCCACCACAGCTCAAGGAGGCCTGCCTGCCTCTGTAGACTCCACCTCTGAGGCCTGCCTGCCTCTGTAGGCTCCACCTCTGAGGGCAGGGCATAGCTGAACAAAAGGCAGCAGAAACTTCTGCAGACTTGAACGTCCCTTTCTGACAGCTTTGAAGAGAGTAGTGGTTCTCCCAGCACAGAGTTTGAGATCTGAGAACGGATAGACTGCTTCCTCAAGTGGGTCTCTGACCCCCGAGTAGCCTAACTGGGAGACACCTCCCAGTAGGGGCCGAATGACACCTCATACAGCTGGGTGCCCTCTGAGACAAAGCTTCCAGAGGAAGGATCAGGCAGCAACATTTGCCTTTCTGCAATATTTGCTGTTCTGCAGCCTCCACTGGTGATACCCAGGCAAACACGGTCTGGAGTGGACCTCCAGCAAACTCCAACAGACCTGCTGCTGAGGGTCCTGACTGTTAGAAGGAAAACTAACAAACAGAAAGCACATCCACATCAAAACCCCATCTGTACATCACCATCATCAAAGACCAAAGGTAGATAAAACCACAAAGATGGGAAGAAACCAGAGCAGAAAAGCTGAAAATTCTAAAAGCAGAGCACCTCTTCTCCTCCAAAGGAACGTAGCTCCTCGCCAGCAATGGAACAAAGCTGGAGGGAGAATGACTTTGACGAGTTGAGAGAAGGCGGCTTCAGATGATCGGTAATAACAAACTTCTCCAAGCTAAAGGAGGATGTTCAAACCCATCACAAAGAAGCTAAAAACTTTGAAAAAAGACGAATGGCTAACTAGAATAAACAGTGTAGAGAAGTCCTTAAATGACCTGATAGAGCTGAAAACCATGACATGAGAAGTACGTGACGCATGCACAAGCTTCAGTAGCTGATTTGATCAAGTGGAAGAAAGGGTATCAGTGATTGATGATCAAATGAATGAAATGAAGCAAGAAGAGAAGTTTAGAGAAAAAAAAGAAATGAACAAAGTCTCCAAGAAATATAGGACTATGTGAAAAGACCAAATTTACATCTGATTGGTGTACCTGAAAGCGACAGGGAGAACAGAACCAAGTTGGAAAAGACTCTTCAGGATATCATCCAGGAGAACTTCCCCAACCTAGCGAGGCAGGCAA